TCTTTAAATTCAAGCATCATTCGTAAACGTCACAGTATTATCGCTGAGATGGAAACAATGTTAAAATTATGGCGTAATAATCAAGTAAATGTGAAAAATTGTAAAATAATATAGGCCTAATTTGTTATACATATGTATTATCTAAAATTTTATTAAACATTTTTTTCTAAATTATTCTTTTCTTTAGTCTTTAGCCCCAATTAAAAATTATTTGTATGTATTTAAATTCAAAATTATACCCCGACTTACGCAGTTATCGCTCGGTCCCACCTATCGTGTAAGTTCAGGGTATTACTGTATATACAACCAAACAGACCAAAATAGAGGGGGGAAAGTACTAAAAACATAAGAGTGTAACACAAAATTAAAAGTCAAAGACAACTTGGACACACAACAGATTGTATTTACTCTTTGGGTGCATTTTTTATTGCACATGCAGTTCAAACTTCAAGATGAATTTTTGTCAAATTTAGCATTCAACGTATGAGGTACCACTGTAGTTTGACTGTGAAAGATGTACCTATCTACCAAGGATGAATCTGAATGTAAAAGGGAAAGCAATGTTCAAGATTCCACCTTAAAGTGCATTTTTTTTAATGTGGTATTTCCAAAGCTGTAAGGGTGTTTTGGGAGTTTAAAACACTCCCTTAAGTTAAACTTGTTTTAATTGAATTTTTGAGCCAAGTACACTAAAATTAATGCTCTAATAAAACTTTTTACTATTAATTATCTATTTTGCTGACATTTTAATCACTTTTATTTGATTCTGAAACAATCTGTAGCTTCCCTTTTTAGCAGAGTAGAGAAGAGGGGAAATTAGTTGGTCTTAGTTGGTAAACATTCCAACTTAGTTTTGCAGCCACCCCCCTTATTTTGCCACTGGATATGACCAACTAGCACGTGTATTACGGTTGGTGGTCATGGCTAAGGTAGATGGGATATACCTGTTTCCAGTGATCATCCTGAATATAACACAGTAACAAAACTGCAATTATAAATGTTTTGGAAAACCTGTCCCATCAAGAGCATACAAGACTTAATTCTTAGCATGCCAAACAGACATTTTGTAGTAAAAAAAATTAAGTTAAATCAACTAAAGCTGAAAAATTAGTCCTGCAGCTAATTTTCTGTTGCACTCATTTTTATAACTAGCTAAGTTTTGTTGAGTACTATACAGTGTGACTTGACCTAAGAGCATTTGATTTACAAGAATTTTATGTAGTAAGTTACATTAACCTTCTTCCTGATTTGCAAGAACAAAACATTTCTAATAACAAGCACAAGACAAACTTATGCTACAATTAAATGGCTCATCATAAGTTTCAATCTCCATTTTCTTCATTTCATTTAAAGTTTTAACCAATAACTAATTGACCTTTGTGGAAAATGGACCAAAGATTCATTCCACATCCTCAAATCATTTGGTACGTATTTTGTGATTATTTGTAATACACTATTCAATAATTCTTCTATTGTAATGCTACAAATCTCGCTCGTATATGAGAGTATTGTTCCTGAAGAGTAAGCATTTAGACATGGTTTGAGTAAATGCACTGAAAGAACAAACTATGTTTCTTACAAATAAAAAACTTAAACCAAACCTTTTATTTATTTAATTCTGCTGGGTACGAGTGTGGTCTATGTTTCTTTTATCATACATACATTTTAGATTATATAAACTAGTTTTTTTGTATGTTAAATATTCAGCATGTGGACTTTCAGTGAGAAATGTTTCCTATTCTATAGAGTCTGTTAAGACCACATTACAGAATAGGTTTTATTATGGACCATGTCTCAAATTGTTTACAGATTTATAAATTAATGATATTTCTTACACACAATACTTTTTTGCTGATGAAAACATATTACATTTATTGTATCTCTGATAAATTTACAATGTACACATCTTTAAACTAGTATGACTAAATAGTATGCTATAAATTTGTAAAGCTCTGTATGTATTTTAATCACTTTAAAAAACAAATGATACATGAAAATTTTAAGATACAGCTGAAGTTTTATTATAAAATATTTATTACAAATTCACAGATATTGCAACATCTTACTTCACATCATTTTTATATGCAAGTTGAACGTGACCTCAGAGTGGCAACTCTTCCCTTTTGTTGCGGACGGTCCTTGCCTCCTCCGCGTGTTGGCTGAACGCAGAAGTTGCCACCCATGACCGTCCGTTACGTTTAGATGGAATGAAGTTCACCGACAAAAGCAATCTTTAACTATTTTAAAACCAACCTATTTGACGACGACGACAACGATACCGTCTGACCAATTGGTACTGGTACGACGGGTGACAGGGTTTGCGTCCATAGTATACTTCAATATGTTGCATGATATAATCACGTCGTGGCAATTTGCACTGAAAAGATGATACGGGAGAACGTTACCGATGATGCAAACCCTGCTGTCATCGTCGTTCCAAGTCGACATAGCAAAATACTTTGTAATAGAAAGCTCGCTAATGCTACGGCAGATATGTCATTTACATCAAAATAAGCTTTTCTGTGACGACAAAATTTTATAAAATCCGATTAAAAAAAAATTCATTTTGGATGATAATTTTTCCGAGATGCCTTAGGTATCTCCACTTTTAAGGCACCAAGTATTCGTATGTCTGAAATCACCATGAATGCACTTGGTGATTAACTTTGAGATTGTGTTCCCTCATCTAAGATTAAAGTCTCTGTGAGAATTGTACTTTTAGTTAAAAAAAAAAATCAGACACAAATGAGTTTCCGGATTCGTAGAAAGGAAGTTGCAATGCACGACTCTCTCGTATTGCTACGAACATTGCAGTTTTGCTACAAAGGACATATAAATTTAAAGCTTGGTTCGAACATTTTCACCCGAAAAGAAAATTATTCACGCGTGCAACTTTTGCCTGGTTAAACTGCCTAGATGCGACTTGGTCAACTTTCAAAATAAATGTATACATTTCAAATCAAAATATTCCTCGAGTGATAATAAAATCTCATGGAAATAATTGCTATAAATGAAAATATTTTATATAAATAACATCATAATTTCAAACTGTTATATTATATATGTATATATGTATTTATATATAATTCTGGATGACTTCTGTAAAATACAAATCTATTCCCTCATTATTAAATGGACAAACACGATATCTAAAAAAGTAATACCGATTATACTAACTGAATATTAAATTAATTTGTTCTAAATATTATTATTATTATTATTATTATGATGATTGGATAGGTTGAGATATGGATTAAGATATAGATATTTTTTAGAATTATCAGCTAATCTAAACTTTTTGGAAGCATTCCAAATACATAAGTGCTGGACTACAGAATAGAAATTCACGGACAAAACACGATATCAAATCACAAATATATATATTTTGGCATAGTGATTCATTTGTGGCCTTTCTCTTATTGTGGCCTAAGATAAATTTGAGGTATCTAACTTTGGTTACAGATTGCTATTTGTTAAAAATTTATCGACCGATGACGAGATGAGACGATCCCATCAAACCGCCAGAAACAAACCGGTCCCGACGATTTGAGGCATAGGTCCAAGGGGCTCTGAGATTGAAGCATCCGGTTTAAATTCACAAACACTTACAGAAAAAGACGCTGCTGCCATCGGTCCGTTCCCACAGAATTTAATCCATGCACTGGTCACGTGTAGGAACTCTCGTCTCAAAAGTGATAAATATGACATGATGTTTTTCAGAAAATTTTAAATTTTAATGTAGTTATACCCTGTCATGAGGGGAAGATTCCTGAAGCACCTCTGACAAGCCATTATCACTACATAACTTCATGATGTAAAGACAGATGTATAGTTCTGTATCATCCTTGAATAGATGAAGAAATGAAAAATGTCCTCTTAGTTTTGCAAATACACCTGAAAAAAACAAATAAATAATTCTTCAGAACAAAGCAAATCAAAAACTTTGATTAAAATTGTTAAATATATTTTAAAAAAACTCTTTTAGAAAAAATATATTGTTCTCTATAAATAGTATATAACTAAAATTTTGTTCTAAGTATTTATTTATTGTATACATCTCATGTACAGGTTGACCATCACTAATTTAATCTAGCATAATTTCAAAGTTTTTATGTTGCCACACTGATCTGCAGCTACTGTTTGGAGTGGTCAATATTGCCAAATGTATGATAATTTGATATGAATTTTCATTTACTTTTTATGTTTTCTTTATTAACCAACTTGATTTACAGGTTATTCAAAGAAAGGTAGGATGAGATAATTACTCATTGGGTTAAGTACATTCGAACCTAACCATCAGTAAGCCAGCAAAATCACTTATTTGGCACCCTACAGGTCCTAATGATGCCGGATTAGTGATAGTCAACCTATACATAAATTCAGTTTACTTACTTATCCCATAAACAAACTTGATATTTTAGAAAATGAAGATAAACAAAATTTATTAAACTACTGTAATGAATTAATCCAGCATAAGCCTGACTAAATTTTGTCACCAAACATTTGATACCATCCAAACAGTAAGTACAATAGTTGTTTCAAGTAATTTAATGATGCTAATATCTTGGTAATTAATAGAATCCACATTTGGGTTGTTATAACTTCATTCCCCATTGTAATTTTAGAGAATGTCATTACTACATTTGGGATTGTGCCATATTATAACAGTATTATTTACATATCTAACAATTAATTACTATTCCAAACTCTCGCCATAATTAAGTGGGCTATTATTATGCTACAATTAATAATTACAAACAAAGTAATTTAGTACTAGGTGTAGTAATTTAATAAATTATTATAATTATTAATTTAGATAAAAGATGGTGCCTAACTTCTACCTCTAGTACCAAATTACTTCGTTTCTAATTATTAATTACAGCATAATAATTGCCCAATTAATTATGGCGAGGGTTTGGATTAGTAATTAATTACTTAGATATACTATTAATATCTTTCAAGCACTGGTTTTTCTATATAAAAGACTGGAGGTGCAGAATACCTTCCCTGAGATGCAGAATTTGCACTACTTTGAGTAGATATCCTCTTATTAATAGTCTATATTTTTTCTTCCTGACATCAGCTGCCTTCATTTAGCACTGGAATACTGTTTGTATTTTTCTGAAATGGCTGTCCAAAATAATCTTTTTTTTATCTTATGAGCAGCAGGGCTAAAGGAATTGTTTGCAATTTAAGTGCTGATTTGACAAAGTAAAATATTTATCATTGTTTTATTTTGTCTGAACCAGCTCTTGATATTTATTTTCATAATTTTTGAGCTGTCAAAGACTGGACTATTTCCAGTCATTTAATTAACAAAATTAGAAAACTACTTAAAGCAGAATAAGGCAGTTTTGCCTAACCTGTATTTTGTGCAAACCATGTATTTTCTGCATTTGCTTTCTGATCAAACTGTGACAGGTTTTAGGTCACTTTCATGAGCATTTATACCAGGGGTGTCCAACCCGCGGCCTGCATGCGGCCCAAGGCAAGTTCCAATGCGGCCCAATAAACGTGTAAACAAAACCGACAAATGTTTTAATTTTTTTATTATTTATTTATTTCAATGGAATAAACTCAACAAAAGTTTCACAAAGCCATAAACCTTTATTCATATTTTATTTTTGAGTGGAAAGAAAATATTTTCAAATACTTTGAGATGTGTGAATGCGGAATGATTACTAAATAAAGCTGGAGTTGTGACTAGAGGATTTGATCCCGGGATCTCGAAAATCGGGACCCCGGGATCCCGACCACTTTTCAGTCCCAAAAATTTCGGGATTAAGTTTTCCTAATCCCGAGATTTTCGGGATTGACATCATTTTAAAAAAAGTTGCAAAATAGACTGCATGAAGCGAAACATTCAGTGCCAGTGCTTTTAACAAAATTGCTTGCCTATCATTTTAGTTGAAAATACAAGAAGTTTTATTCCAAGCAAGCATCGCAAGCCCACTAGGTTAATTTCTGCTGCTTGCTTGGAATAAAATTTCTTGTATTTTATATTAAAATGATAGGCAAGCAATTCTGTTAAAAGCACTGGCACTGAACGTTTCGCTTCATGCAGTCTATTTTGCAATTTTTTTAAAATGATGTCAATCCCGAAAATCCCGGGATTAGGAAAACTTAATCCCGAAAATTTTGGGACTGAAAAGTGGTCGGGATCCCG